GCACTGCCCCAGGTTTATCGAAGAAAGGCGCTTAGCAAGTCTGCCTTGTCAGGATTATATCATTAAAGGAGAAAAGTGTCTGGGTGTGGCTTTGTTACTGCGACCACAACCAGGTCCTGCCCCCCCACCCCCCTCCCCAGAGGCCTTGTTCCTGCTGGGGTGGGGAGGTGGGACCGCCGACCCGCTCGCTGCCTGCCTCCCTCTCCGGCAGGCCTGGCCCAGTCTCCCCCCAGCCTTCCTTGCTGGCCCCTGCTGCCTGTTGTTTGGAATCTATTAAATTCCTGCCCCTTGGATGCAGCTGCTGAGCTCTCATTAACTCCGGGGGGAATCGGTGTGTTTGTAACACAAACAGAATTGGGCTTTTGGTCTTGTGCTGAGCCTGGGAGCTTTGGAATCCTCTTCGGTGTGGGCAGCCTTGCACCAACCCTGCCCTCCCTGCTCGCGGGCAGGGTCTCGGTTTCCCCCTTTGTTTCCCAGGGCGTGGGCTTGGGCGAAACGGTCGCTGGCTGTAAATTGCTCACAAACATTTTGATTTCTGATGGTGTCTCCTCTCTGCCTTCCGTAGCGGTGGTTTAAGCTCCTTTGGCCCGGTGCTGAATTGTTCTTGCTGGGATGTCTGAGAAGCTGCGGTAGGCTGTGGCCCCTCTTCCCAGGAAGTCGCCTCCGCATGCAGACAGCAGCGTGTGGGTCCCCGTGGCGCCTAAGGACTTGCAGCCTGGTCCCCCTCGCTGTCTCTTCCCATTGTGTAGATAAGGCACTGGAGCCCGTCCGCTGCTTGTTTCTCTCTCCAAGGCCTTGCTTCCTTGCTTGGCTTCTGCTCCCTGAGCCTCAAGCTGACCCCGGGAGAGTGGGGGGAAGCAGCCATGGGCTGCTGCGGGTGGGACACGGTTCTCCACGCTGGAAGACACACCCTAGAGCGGGGGTGGGGAACCTCCAGCGTGGTCTGGCCCTGCCAAGGCACCCATAGGTGGGAGTCGAAATTGAGTAAATCTATAGCAGGCTGGTGTTTAAGTTGATCATTTTGTGTGGCTCATGAATGATTTTTTAAAATATTTATTTATTTATTTGAAAGGCAGAGTTACAGAGAAGCAGAGAGAGAGAGAGAGAAAGAAAGGTCCTCCATCCACTGGTTCATTCCCCATTTGGCCACAACAGCTGGAGCTGCGCCAGTCCAAAGCCAGGAGCCAGGAGCTTCTTCTGGGTCTCCCACGTGGGTGCAGGGGCCCAAGCATTCGGGCCATCTTTTACTGCTATCCCAGGCCACAGCAGGGAGCTGGATTTGAAATGAGGCAGCCAGGACTCAAACTGAGGCCCAAGGACCCATGCGGGATGCCGGCACTGCAGGTGTCAGCTTTACCCGCTGCGCCACAATGCCGGCCCCCCAAATGATGGTCTTAATATCCACATGGCCTTTGGCAGGAGCCAGGCTCCTCAGCCCTGCCCTGAAGTCTCTTAGGCTGGGCACATCTCAGCCCCTGGAAAGGTTCCTAACACAGACCCCTGGCTCCCACCCAGAGTTTAGATTGTGTAGGTCTGGGGTAGGGCCTGAGAATTCGCATTTCCAGCATGGGAACCACACCTCGGGGGACCCTCGGCAGAGGAGAACTCAGCCCTAGGAGGGACCCTTGGGGTCGATGGAGCGGTGGCTGGGCTGCTGATCCACCGTGCCCTGGTTTTGACTTGGGGCTTTCTGTGTGACCGTGTTTGTGAAGGTTATGGGAATGCTTTTCAGTGTCATGGTGTTGGTGGGGGGGAGGGTGGCTAATGGGATTGAGTGGCGGGAGCTGAGGCTGACCTTGGCCCTGAGGAAGGACGGGCCCCTTCCAAAAGCTGGTGGGTTCTTTTGGAATCATAAATAAAATCCAGGAAAGCAGGTTGGCTAATAACGTTAAGATAGCATGCCGTAGGCCGGCGCCGCGGCTCAACAGGCTAATCCTCCGCCTAGTGGCGCCGGCACACCGGGTTCTAGTCCCAGTCAGGGCGCCGGATTCTGTCCTGGTTGCCCCTCTTCCAGGCCAGCTCTCTGCTGTGGCCAGGGAGTGCAGTGGAGGATGGCCCAAGTGCTTGGGCCCTTCACCCCATGGGAGACCAGGAGAAGCACCTGGCTCCTGCCATCGGATCAACGCGGTGCGCCGGCCTCAGTGCGCCAGCCGTGGCAGCCATTGGAGGGTGAACCAACGGCAAAGGAAGACCTTTCTCTCTGTTTCTCTCTCTCTCTTACTGTCCACTCTGCCTGTCCAAAAAAAAAAAAAAAAAAAAAGGATAGCATGTCGTAAGCATTCTAAGCTGTACTCCATGGCAACCGGGCAGGTCTCCGTGATAGATATGTTTTTTGCTGGTCAGCGGGCCCAGTAAGACTGCTAAGTTTTCTGCTTGGTAAGGCCTTGGCTGATGGCTACCACCATGTAACCCCGTGCAAGAGGAGCCACCCTGTGGGCTGCTGCCGCTGCCGTGTCCGGGTTACCCGTGCTGCTGCCTGATGGCCCATCTGCCGGCAGCTCCTGGTCCCCAGTCCCGCGTGCCTCCACGTGCTGACCACCAAGCCGGGGTCCCACCCACTCCACAGAGAAGCCTGGGATCACACCATGTGCTTACGTTCCCTCACTTGCTGGCAGTGTTGTCTGACTGGGCTGGCCGTGTGCCTTGCTCTTAAGCCTCCTGGTAGGGCCTTGTCCCGCCCCTGAGGGCCCGCGCCAGCTTCCTGCCAGTGCAGACCCTGGGCAGCAGAGGTGAGGGGCCACGTGCTTGGGTTGCTGCTGCCCTCGTGGTGACAGGGTTGAATTTCTGGCTTCGGGCGTCCGGGGGGTGAGCCAATGGGTGGGTACTCCCTCAACGTGTCTGTTACTCTCTGGGTCTTTCTGCCTCTCAAAAACAACAACAACAACAACAACAAAAAACCCACAAACGTGTACAGACCTGTTCTCCCAGGGCAGCTTCACGCCTTTCACAGGTACCCACGCTCTGCCGTTTGAGCACAGTTCCTGGGGAGTACCAGGGCCGCGCAGAGCAAACACCAAACTCCTCCCTGGGGGTCATAAGCCCGAGGTTATCCGGCTCCTTTATCTACATGTTTTGTGTGCCCCCCCCCCCAACCCCCCGCCCTTCCATTGGCTCATCGCAGGCTTCGGATCATACCTGCTGCTTTTTGCAATACTCAGCTGTGTGCATACTTCGTTTTCAACTTTGATTTTGTTAGTGTCGAGGCATATGGTCAATCCAGGACGCAACGGGGCGTAGTGGAAGGTATTCCCTCTGCCACCCCCTGGGGTCTCTCCTACGTGCTTTTCTGCAAACATGAGTGCGTGTCTGTCTTTCTCAGGAGGTTGGTATCAGATCACACGTGGCGCTGGACATGTGTTGCTTTTTCAGCTTGAAGGAGAAGCTTTGTGTTGGATGCCTCTGTTCTTGAGGGCAGTAGAACGTCCCCTTGCATGGCTGTGAGCCATTATTTGTGGACACGCTGGTTGTCCCCCGTGTTGGGGACAACACACAGTGCTGCGCTGAGCCGTCTTGCACCTGCTCTGCTGCCCTGCACTGTGTACAGTGTTTCTAGGAGGACCCTGTTGGGTCATGGGTCACATGGAGTGGGATGAGGGCCCCTGTGTGAATGAGAAGAGGTTTTCTCCGGGCAATCCTGTGGACCCCTGGCCGCACGTCCTAGAGAACTTTCCAGTAACTAGCTGTCGTGTGCCTTGGAGCCGACGCTTTGGGCTCTCCCGCCCTCCAGCTTGGTGGCTGTGAGGTGATCTGGGATCTGTTGATTCCCAAGGTGCCAGAGGTTAGAATTTAATTCCCTCTCAGGTGGGCGCTCCATGTGGCACCCTGGGAGAGCTCCCTCAGGGGGCCTGGGTGCTGGGCCAGCGCTCACGGTCTTCCTTGGTTAGTCTGCAGAAGGTGCTGGAGCCTTCCATTGAAGGTAAGGCCCCGAGAGGCCTTGCCAGTGGCCCTGTTGGACTTGGAGTTTGCCATCAGCAGGTGGAGGGATGGGGAGGCCCACACATCCTGCGTGCTGGGGCCTGCCCGAGCCGTGCGGCTAGGGGAGGAGGGATGTCTTTGGGAATAGTCACTTCCGGGTTTCACATCCAGTCCTGTGCCCTGTGCTCCTGGTGGAGCCGAGCTGCCTGCTCTCCTGGTGCCTCGGGATGCGAGGGGCACCGTGCTGGCTGTCACCGGGCTCTCATCCCTAGGCCGCCGAGGCACCGGGGGTCATGGAGCAGATTCCTGTCCTTGCAGGTGAAGGTCGGCTGCGTGGTGCTGGACGTGGACCTGCGTTAATGAGATGAACGCGGTGGGGTGGGGGGGGTTGGCCAGAGTGGGGCTGGGGGGTTGAGGTAGAGGCAGTGAGAATGCTGTCTTTTTGGAGGAGGATCTCAAACACCTGCTGGGCCGAGAGAACCTTCTGGTGGGCGGGGCACACCCTTTGTACACAGGTGTGCTCTGGCCTGCCAGGCTCTGGTCTCCCACGAGGAAGTGTGCGCGCCTTCCTTGCCTTGCAGTGTCTGTCCATGGCCTACCTTCCATGGCTTCCTGCTTTTGCTGCCGGGCATGGAAGCAGAGAAGGAACGTCTCCTGGGGATAAGAAGGATCCCGAAGCCTGTGTGACATCAGCCTGGTCCTGGCATTGTGGACAAGGGGCCCAGGAGGGGAGGGTGGGGCCCGTGGCAAGACAGGAAGCACATTTCCATATAAAATGGGCATAGTTCCTGGTCTCTCTCTTTTTTTTCTTTAATAGAAGCCCAAAACTTCGATTATTAAGTGAAGTCTCCCAGTTTTTCCATTTTGGGAGTGCATTAAGATTTTACGAAAGATGTTGCTCCGGCTGGAGAAAGACTGTGACCCCTGAGACAGCGAAGGGAGAGGCGGGGGAGGAGGAGCTGGGGATGGGGCACTGGGATGGCACGGGAGGGCGCGGGTCCGTGTCCCAGTCCTCCGCACACCCTCCGTGACGGGCCGAGGCCGCCCCGACTGCTTCACAACCCGTGGTGCTGTGTCTCTTTCAGATCCTGCCTCTGCGGAAAGAACAGCCCAGAAAAGAAAGTTCCCCAGCCCTCCGCACTCCTCCAATGGCCACTCGCCACAGGATACATCCACAAGCCCCATTAAAAAGAAAAAGAAACCCGGCTTACTGAATAATAACAATAAGGAGCAGGTAACGGAGCCCCCGGGAGTGGCGGCGGCACCGGGGTGGGGGTGGGGGGACGAGGCCTGGGCGCGCTGGGTGTTTGCTTGGCACCTGCATGCGCTACTGTCGCTTGCATAGGGCAGCTCCCAGTGGGCCTAGGACCAAACCACCAGTGGGTTTTTGGATGTGTTTTGGGGGGTAGAACTGTGACCCAGATACGATAAGGATGTTGTCCCTTAGAGTTCGGAGCTTTTCTTTGGAATAATTTCCCTTTTTAAGGGTTGTTCTCCCTCTGTGGCATTGATGCCCAGCTCTGCCTGTAGGTGGTGGCGGGGCTGAAGTGTGCTCCCTGTCCGGTATCAGTTTTTCTCATCTGTAAAATGGGTCTTAGGGCTGTGATGAGAGGCAGTGCCCCAGGTAGACTTGGGTCAGTGGTCTCCATTCTTGCCCGTTGAGCACAGCCCCTGGGCAGCACGAATCTTTGCCAGACCTGGGCAGCCAGGGCTTGGTCAGAGACCACGTGGCACTTGGCTTTCAGATTCTCTAATGCAGCTGGCTGCTGTGATGAAGAGCGCGCGTGCAGCGAGTTAGCCGACTTCCAGGGAAGCTCTCCCGGCAGTGTCTGTGGCGGGAGTCTCGGGCGCCATCTTCTGTCCCGAGCACCGTTGAGTCCGAGAGGGACAGGAGGTGGCACAGGGCAGGGCTGATGCTTCCGCAGGAGGAGGGCTAGCAGCGGTTAAACGCATGGCCTGCGAGAGGTGTGTGCTCTGAGCACGAAGCTATTTTCAGTCTGAAAATTATAGAGCGAGATGCCAGCTCAGGCTTGTTCGGCTGCTGTGGGGGATTTAACCTCTCTGTGCCCGGCCTTTTCATCTGGCAGTGAGGAGAGGGGTGCTGCTCGTTCCACGGGGTTGTTTTGAAGTTGATTTTTTAAAAAAAGATTTTATGTATTTATTTAAAAGGCAGAGTCATACCACACACACGCACACAGGTCTTCCATGTGTTGGTTCACTCTCCTATGGCTGCAATGGCTGGGGCTGAGTTAGGCCAAAGCCGGGAGCCAGCAGCTCCATCTGGGTCTCCCATGTGGGTGCAGGGGCTGGCTCTAAGTCTGATGGACTTCGTCAGATTTCTTGCCCAAGATCACATGGACCGGAGTGTTGAGAGAATCTTGTTTCCAAGTTCTCTCTCTCTCTTTTTTTTTTTTTTTTTTTGACAGGCAGAGTTATAGACAGTGAGAGAGACAGAGAGAAAGGTCTTCCTTCTGTTGGTTCACCCCCCAAATGGCCACTACGGCCGGTGTACTGCGCCAATCCAAAGCCAGGAGCCAGGTGCCTCCTCCTGGTCTCTCATGCAGGTGCAGGGCCCAGGGACTTGGGCCATCCTCCACTGCCCTCCTGGGCCACAGCAGAGAGCTGGACTGGAAGAGGGGCAACCGGGATAGAATCTGGCGCCCCAACCAGGACTAGAACCCGGGGTGCCGGCGCCACAGGCAGAGGATTAGCCAAGTGAGCCGTGGCGCCGGCCTCCAAGTTCTTAGACTCAGCATCTTGGTCCGTTTGGGTTGCTATGGTAAGAAGTTACCATAGCCGGGTGGCTTATCAACAGTGGAGACGATTTCTCCCAGCTCTGGAAGTCCATGGTCATGGGTTCTGGTGAGGGCCCTCTTCTGGTTTGCAGACAGCTGCTGCTTGCTGCATCCTCCTGTGGCAGAAGGGGTGAGGGTCTCCCTGGGGTCTCTTTCATGCAGGTACCAAGCCCATTCCTAATGCTGTGCCTTGAGCACCCAGTCACTTCCCAAGGGCCCACCTCCTCACACCATCACCTTGGATATGCAGGCCGTAGCATTCAGAGCAGTCCAGCGAGAGCTGGGAGCAGAGCTGCCCCTTTAGGACACAGGAGGTCTGTGCTCTGATTGGCCACATGCCTCACCCCTCCCTGTGGTCTCACACCGAGCCCACCTGGTCTACTCAATGCTTTTGCCTGGGGGTCTCTGGGCATTCATTTCTTTAGACTTCCCCTGTTTCCATGTCGTCCACCTCTTCCCTTTTGTTCTTCACTCTGCGTTCTCTGTGTTCCAGAAAGAAAGTCGTTCTGACCTTATAAAAACAAAGAAGCCGGGCATTCCCATGTTTAGTAGAGACCTGTGGTTACTAGTGGAGGTAGGGCATGCACTTGAAGTTTGGATTCTGTTGCACCTCTTTTGTCTGTTTTGGGAAGTGAGTACTGTTAAGAGAGGTTTTTTTCTTTTTGAAATTTTATTTATTTATTCGAGATGTAGAGTCACATGCAGAAAGAGGGAGAGACAGAGAGAGAAGAAGAGGCAGAGAGAGAAGTCTTCCATCCTCTGGTTCATCCCCCAAATGGCCACAATGGCCAGAGCTGGGCTGACCTGAAGCCAGGAGCCAGGAGCTTCTTCCAGGTCTCCCAGGCGGGTGCAGGGGCCCAAGCACTTGGGCCATCTTCTACTGCTTTCCCAGGCCATAGCAGAGAGCTGGATCGGAAGTAGAGCAGCTGAGACTCGAACCAGGGCCCGTATGGGATGCTGGCAGTGCAGCTAGAGGATTAGCCCACTATGCCATAGCGCTGGACCCTGTTAGGAGAGTTTTACAAAGAACTTTAAAAAATAGTTTATTTACTTGAGAGGCAGAATGACAGAGTGAGACAGAGGGACAGCTCTGGGGCTGCCGGCTGCTCCAGACGAGGCAGCACAGGGTGTGTGGCAGCCTGGCTGCCCCCGTCACATGGCCAGGGTGGGGCTGCCCCCAGGAGATGACCCCTTCCCTGCTGCCTGCCCTCCGCGAAGCTAATGGCCAGTGAGTCCTCAGCCCAGGGCTGGGCGCTGTTTCCTGCACGCCTGGCAGGAGAGCGAGAGCTGCTGCGAAGGCTGATGGACTCATGCAGGTGACCCGCCTGGCCTGTGTAGAGCTGGGGCTTGTGGACTCCCTGTGTGCATGGCTGGAGCACCTGTTCTCTGGTTGATGTAGGCCGGGGCCGGCAGCTACAGCCTGTGTGCCGGATGTGCTTGGAGTCTGGTTTTTTATAAAGTTTTATTGGCACACGGCCCATCCCTTCCTGTGCATATGATCTGTTACTGCACTGCAGTGGTCCACTTATTTGACTGTTTCCTCTCCTTAAGAAAAAGGTTGCTGGCTCCTTAGTTTCAGGTGTCCAGAAACAGGCCCTTTCCCTGTTCTGTGAAGCCCGCCTGTGTGTGGGGGCAGCCGGGCAGTGAGAACACCTGTGTCATAGCCTGTGTGTGTGTCCCTTGCAAGCACAGGTGGCGACCTGTCGGCCTCACTGGCCGGCCGGGAACACAGTCCTAACTCATTTTTCCTGAAGTTGGCTTTTCCTCTTTGAAATGTCCACATTTGTTATCAGATTGCGTTCCTGGCGAAACACTGATAAACAGCAGACAAGGGAGGTAGCTGTCTAGGAGGTGAGCCAGGCAGCCGGTCTGTAGCCACAGGAACTGTTGCCCGCGCCGGGGGGACCCTCCCAGGAGTCTGCAGTGGCCTGGCACTCCCGGGATGCCACACCAGGGACACCCCCCCCCCCCCACCAGCCTCCACACCTGGCCTCCTGGCGTGGGGGTGGGCCGGGGGATGGGGGAGGCAGGGATGGGCTCGTGGGGAGCCAACGCTGAAGGATCAATAGCCGGCTTCTAGTAGAGAGGCCCCGAGAAGCTCGGTTAGGGAGATGCGCTCTCCCTGTCACAGTTGATTCTCCCACTTGCCTTTAGGTCTTAATGACTCTGCCTGTCCTGTTATTGACCTAATGAAAGGCAGGTGCCGGAAGTAGGACTTCCTGCCATCTTACAGGAACCACAGGAGCACCCCAGAAAAGCCCCGACCTCCCTCCACCTTGCAGTGGGGGTTTCTTCCCACGCCCAGGTCCCTCTGGGACTCCTTGCCCCTACCATAACCTTGGGCTGGAGTTTTCCTGAACACACAACCAACCCATAGGAGCAGATCTCAGGGCCGCTTCCCCCGCAAGGGGGCGCTAGCAGCATCACCAGACGTGTTTGTTGTGCGGTTGTAGGTGCATGGGGGTGGCTCTGGCCCGGGCCCCGCGCACGACTGCTCCCACAGCTGTTTGCTGGCCCGCGCGTCTCTCAGGTTGAGAGCCCTGCTGCTGGCCCGCCCGTGGGGTTTCCAGTTTATTTGCTCATTTCCCCCTCTGACGCTCTGCCTTACGCCGAGCTCTGTGGAACACAGACCGGATCTCTGGGGCTCTCACTGAATCATGAGGCTCTTGGTGGCGTCAGGTGTCAGCCTGTGCGGGGTGCGGGGAAGAGAGAGGGCCGGCGGGGGAGCTTGCCCTGGGCCTGGAGGCCACAGAAGTCTCTGTACGGGAGCATTCCCGTCTGTGGAAGGAGGCAGGCCGTGTCTGCCCCGGCGCCTCCCTGGGTGCGAGTCGGGTGGATACAGCAGGACAGGCTGCCCGTGTCACGTGGCCGGAGCAGGCAGCAGCGAGGGTTTCCCCTGGAAGCCGAGTCGGCTGCTCTATTTTAAAAGGTGAACTGAAACGGGGAAGTGATGGCACTTGCCAGACTTAGCTGTTCGCTTGGGAGGCGTGACAGTGGGGCTGCTAAGGACTGGTCCTCAAGGCTGGCCGAGTAAGCATCTGTGAGGCCTGTTGTCCGCGAGGGTGGACATTGGAGAATGTTAAATGTTCCTAAGAAAAGCTGGGAAGGGCGGCAGCATTGTGGCGCGGTGGGTAAAGCCACTGCCTGCGATGCCTTCATCCTGTATGGGTGCTGGTTCAAGCCCTGGTTGCTCCACTTGCGATCCAGCTCCCTAATGATGGCTTGGAAAAAGCAGCAGAACATGGTCCAAGTGCTTGGGCCTCTGCACCCACGTGGGAGGCCTGGATGAAGCTCCTGGCTCCCGCCTGACCCAGCCCTGGCTGTTGTGGCCACCTGGGGTATGAACAAGCAGCTAGAAGATCTGGTCTCTCTGTCTCTCCCTTTCTCCTTTTTCTCTATAACTCTGCCTTTCAAATAGATAAGTAAATCTCAGAAAAGGTAGGAAGAAGACATGTGGCCCTTCCAGCGAAAAGACTGCTTACCTTCTCCGGTGGCCAGTGAAATAAAGCAGGGGCAAGTGTGGTGGTGCAACAAGTTAAGCCACTGTGTGGGATGCTCACGTCCCATATCAGAGTGTTGTGTGAGCCCCAGCTACTCTGTTTCTGATCTAGCTTCCTGCTAGTGTGCCTGTGAAGTCAGCAAATAATGGCTTGAATGCTTGGGCTCTTGCCACCCATGTGGGAGACCTGGATGGAGTTCCTGACTCATGACTTCAGCCTGGTCCAGCCCTGGCTGTTGTGGGCATTGGGAGACTAAATCAGCAGATGGAAGATCTCTCGCTCTCGCTCTCTCTGTCTCTGTTTCTCTGTCACTCTACTTTTCACATGACTAAATAAATGTAGAAGTGTTAAGCCAGGACTAAAACTGATGTTACTTAGAATTAATGCAGTTACTAATAATATGGCCTTTATCTTAGGCCTAGTCTTAAAGACTCTTCCATTTACTTGAAAGTCACTGTTACAGAGACAGATCTTCACCGGCTGGTTCACCCCTCATATGGCTGCAACGCCTGGGACTGGATGAGGCTGAAACCAGGGGCTTCATCTGGATCTCTCGCGTGGGTGACAGGGGCCCAAGCACTTGGGCCATGTTCTGCTGCTTTTCCCAAGCCATCATTAGGGAGCTGGATCGGAAGTGGAGCAACCAGGGCTTGAACCAGAACTCATCTGGGACATCAGAGTTGCAGGTGGCGGCCTCACCTGCTGTGCCACAACACTGGCTGTTTAAAGATTTATTGATTTGAAAGGCAGAATGACAGAGAGAGGGAGAGAGATCCTTCATGCACTGTCTCATTCCCTAAAGGGCCATAACGTCCAGGGCTGGTCCAAAACAGAAGCCAGGAGCCCAGAACTCCACCTGGATCTCCCTGTGGGTGGCAGGGGCCTGAGTCCATGGACCATCTTCTGCTGCCTCCACAGGTGCAGCAGCGGTGCTGGCTCCTAAATGGGATAGCCAGGACTTGAACCACTGCTCCCGTATGGGGTGCTGGGTGGCCTCTCTCAACCCACTGGGCCACAACGCCAACACCCACTCAGGTTTCTGATGTTTTCCTACTGAGTCAGGTTCTTCTGAGTGGTGTTACGTGTTTGGAGTTTGGCTTTGCTGTGTTCTGTAGCACTTGATTGGAGAAATGTTTTCCCTGACGTGCTGGGACAGGAGGGAGTCTGGCTGGCTGCCATGGATCCCTCACCAGGTCCATCTTAACATTGCTCTGAGTGAGAGATCCGGCTGCCGGGCAGCACAGGGTCCCCCACATTCTGGAGTCTGAATAAGCATGAGCACTTCATGCGCTGGAGGCTTGGAAGAGAGATGTCTGTGTTTTTGGTGACTCAGATCCAGGTGCTTTGTTCTCCAAATGCCTGTTGTTGAAAAACTCCCAGGCCAGTTGCCATACTTCTAGCGGCTTTGCAATTTTGGACTTCCATCTCCTGGGCTTTAACTGTGTTTGCAACGTTAGTCATGGTGGTACGGTGTTAAGGCATCCGTGGGGTCATCCCACTTAATCGCAGCTCAGTACCGTGATGCTGGGTAATTTTTGTCTCCATTTTACAGATGAGAAAACTGATACTGAGAGGTTAGGAGACACGGCCAAGGCCATGCTGCAGCTGGTTCCTGTAGAGGGAAAATTAGAGCCCCAGGGCGCCCGGGTTGTAGCTACTATGTTACCCTGCTGGGGCTGTCACTTAGATTCCAGCTTTCAGTCTGTGGCCTCCCAAGGTAGAAAGAAGCTCTGTGTTACTTAGCCACCTGTTAATGCCTGGGTAGTAGAGGAACCCCCAGTCCGCTTGACGTTTGAATGCATTTGTGAAACGTTGTAATTTGCGCTTGCTGTTACTGATGTACTTGTTCAGATTCCTGTTGAGAATGCACATTTGTTTTGAAACCGCACCTGTCTTTCTTGCCTACATTTCAGTCAGAGCTAAGACATGGTCCGTTTTACTATATGAAGCAGCCACTCACCACAGACCCTGTTGATGTTGTACCGCAGGACGGACGGAATGATTTCTACTGCTGGGTTTGTCACCGGGAAGGCCAAGTCCTTTGCTGTGAGCTCTGTCCCCGGGTTTATCACGCTAAGTGTCTGAGACTGACATCGGAACCAGAGGGGGACTGGTTTTGTCCTGAATGTGAGGTTAGTTCCTGATGAATGAATGCGTTACCTGCCTCATTTCCTCTTCTTTCTCTTTTTTTCCTTTGAGTTTTAATTTTTCAAATAATCCAGATACAGGGAAAAGAGACTTTTTTTTTGCCTCCCATCCGCTCTGTCCCAGTCACCTCCTTTTTGGACAGACATCTGCAGCGGCCTCGACGTGGGAGACAGTGGCGTCCAGGATTGAATTCTGTGCTTCACGGGTCTTCGGGTCGCTGGGAGATCTGCAGCCGTCTCTGGTTCTACATTGAATGCCCTGGGAGTTAACAAGCAGATCAGCAACAGCTCACACGGTTTGCAACTCTCTGCTCGTTTTCGTCTTTTTGGGTGCTTTTTTCTCCTGCATCATTCGCATCCTCTGCTGGAGCCCAGCTGGGAAGACCGGTTTTGGTTGTGAGTTCCACGTGGCGACCATCTGACCGCGGCTTTTGCCGAGCAAGGATCACTCCCGTGCCTGTTGGGTGCTGGGAATTCGACAGTGTACAAAAACGGGCTTGGACCATTTTGCTTGTGTCAGCAGAAAAGGATGTGAATAAGTAAAACAACAGAATAAAGTTATGTGTAATGAATTCGAAGAAAAGTGCCCTGGAGACCCCGAGTGGAGGATGGGAAGAGCAAGTTGGGGCGTGCAGGATGTGTCCTTCCTTCAACACACAAGGCGCGGAAGTCCTCGCTGAGCGCTGACGCCGGGGAGGGCAGGGTGAGCCCTGCAGCCACTGGGGAGACTTCGCAGGCAGCGGGAGCTGCAGCTACGGGGCTGGCGACAGCAGTGTCCTGAGCATCGTGGAGGCAGCCGGCGTGCTCCGTTTGCGGCCAAGCCTGAACGCTCTCCATTAAGCCAGGGACAAGAGCTACTACCCTCCCGAGGCGCCTTCAGGTCTTGACGACTCCCAGCCATTAGGCGTCTCTAAGCCGCTTACAACAAGAAGCCGCCTACGAAAGTGTTTCATGGGAAAAGTCTTCTGGATTCCAAAGCACTTTGGAAATTCAATCTTAAATTAGGAAGCTGTGTGTGGAGTGCAAAGACCATGTGCTGTCTTTGTGATACCGTCTGTACGGGAAGAAGAGGTTATGATGTCACTCGCGAAGATGATGACGTTGAAATGGTGTCTTGCCTGTGAAATGGCAAGAGATGGCAGCTGGTTCTCTTGGCGTCACTCTCAACGAGACATTTGCAGGGTAACACTGGGCCCAGCAGTGCCTTGCTCTGGGTTCAAAGCCTGACCTCATTCTACTACGTTCGGTGTGGGAGGTGGAGCCTGCACCGTTTTCTTTTGCCCTGACCGTCTCTTCCCTGGTGTTTAAAGATGTTGCAACAAAGGTAGTGGCTCCACGTGTCGGAGGCAACCAGAGGTGGGGCCAGCTGGCGTTTGTTCGGAACCCAGCTCTCGTCTCCTTGTTGAGGGCCTGGGTCCCCCAGTGCCGTAGAGGCTGCTGAGGGCTCCGGCGACATGGGTAGATGAGCCCGAGTCTTGCTCCTCACGTGTCCTGTCATCAAGCAGGAGGCTTTTTAAAAAAATTTTTAAAAGATGATTTATTTATCTGAAAGGCAGAATTACAGAGAGAGGAAGGAGGAGAAGGAGAAAGAGGAGGAGGAGGAAGAAGAGAGAGAGAGAGAGAGAGATTTTCCATCTGCTGGTTCATTCCCCAAATGGCTGCAGCAGACAGAGCTGGGCCAGGCTGAACCCAGGAGCCTGGAACTTCTTCCAGGTCTCCCACGTGGGCACAGGGCCCAAGCCTTTTGGCCATCTTCAGCTGTTTTCTCAGGCGCATTGGCAGGGAGCTGAATTGGAAGTGGAGCAGCCAGGTCTTGAACTGGTGCTCATATGGGATTCTGTTGTCACAGGCAGATGCTTAATCTGCTGTACCACGACAGCCCCAAGAGATTTTTTGATTCATTTGAAAGGCAGAGTTAGAGAGGGAGGGAGGGACACAGAAGGATCTTCCAGCCGGTGGTTTACTCCCCAAAAAGCAGAATGGCTGGGGCTGGGCTGGGCTGAAGCCAGGAGCCAGGAGTTGTGGGTGCAGGGGTCCAAGTAGTTGGGCCGTCTTCCACTGCTTTCCCAGGCACATTAGCAGGGAGCTGGATTGGAAGTGGAGCAGCCGGGACTTGAACCGATGCCCACATGGGATGCTGGCATCACAGACAGCAGCTGAATCTGCTGTGCAGCGATGCAGGCACCAGGCAGGTGGATTTCACCTGCCAGCCTCCTGCTCCTGTCGATTTGCCCTTGGGCTTAGTGGGCAGCGTTGGGGCACCAGTCCCTGTGCAGAAAAGGCTTCCGGAGTACTCACCTGTCACTTTTAAGTGTTGTGGGAACCGCAGGCACTGGCAGGCAGCAGGGAGGGGAGGGAGAGTTGTGACTTGCAGCCTGGGGTTTGCCTTGGATAGCTAGCCGGACACAGACTGCAATTCAAGCAGGTAGGTGTTGTGTGTCTGCGACTCAGGGCCCCACGTTGCTTCCAGGGGAGGCCGGCAACACGGGCCATGAGAGGGTTCGGCCCTGGTAGCTCAGCTGTGAGGCCCTTGCATCCCCCACTCTTTCTGCTTCTGAGCACCTGTCAGCCGACCACATACAGCGGGGAGCTCCCTTTGGAGGTTCCGGAGATGGAATGGGACCGGGATCCGGGTCCATTGGAGCAAACTCTGCTCAGCTTTCCCTCCACAGGTGGCTAGGGAGCACTTGCTGGCATTGCCAGGGTTGAACAGTTTTGTTGTTGCTGTTACCAAGAGCCCTTGCGAAGCCCTGGGATTCCGAGCCAGGTTTTCATAGCACAGCCTGGTTTCAGCCATTTTTCTGAATCCGCTTTGATGGGAATTTGTCTTAGGAAATAACTTTCATGGCCCATGACATAAACATACCCCCTTTTAAAAATGATTTATTTTATTTGCTTGAAAGGCAGACTCAACAGAGAGAGAGGGAGAGATAGGTCTTCCAAACGCTGCTTCACTCCCCAGATGGCCACACGGCTGGGGCTGGGCTGGACGGAAGCCAGGAAGTTAGAACTGCATCCAGGTCTCCCACAGGGGTGGAAGGGGCCCAGGCACTTCGGCTGTGCTCTGCTGCTTTCCCAGGTGCACTCACAGGGAGCTGGATTGGAAGTGGAGCCGCTGGGACTCCCAGCTGGTGCACATTTGCAATGCCGGCCTCACTGGCAGTGGCTTAACCTGCTGTGCCACAGCACTGGCCCCGGTAGACAGACGTCTTGGGGGAAGCTTTGCTGGAATGTTGTGAGTGGAGTTCACATCAGTGGCGATGGAGAACGAGGTCATAGTCCATGCCGGTCCACTGCATTTCCCTGGATTCTTTCTACAGGGTAGTCTGTCTCTTTCCTTTCTGATAGCCCAGAGCTCTAGATGGTTGAGATGAGTGGTCGATCAGTGTTCACCATCAGTGCCTGTCTTAGCCCCTGCTTGAATCCCAGGGTTTTAACACTGGCAGAATTCAGGGCCCTGTCTTAGATGCACACCTCTCTCAGGTCCTGTCACCCTCAGGAGTGAAAATGCTTCCTGTGATGATGGTATCTGAATTGATGTGCTTTTTATAGCTTTACCCGCCAAGTCCGTTTGGGGCCGGTAGATTGGGGTCCTCGCTCATTGGATGGGAATTGCTTGCTAATGGGTGAGTTTCCTGGCGCAAAAACCAAAAAGAAGGTGGCAAGGGAAGTGAGGCTGTGGATACTAACGTTTCCTAACTGCTTATTTGTCTATGATTTTGACTTGTAGAAAATTACAGTAGCAGAATGCATCGAGACCCAGAGCAAAGCCATGACAATGCTTACCATTGAACAGTTATCCTACCTGCTCAAGTTTGCCATTCAGAAAATGAAACAGCCAGGGGTAAGAAGAAAGTTCCTCTCGTTCTAAACTCCGTGAAAACGGTGGCTGGGTTTGTCCTGTCGACCTCTTGCCTGCTCCGAGCTCCTCCGTGGGCTTTCTTGTGGGTCCAGGTCCAGACACCCGTAGTCAAACACGAGCTTCGCAATGGCAGCCACTGCGTCTTGGTTGTGAGCTCTCTGTGTCCCAAAACGAGCTTCCCAGGACTTGCCAAGCAGTGGAAGCTTGGCGGGGTTATTCCGATTGGTTGTGAAAGGAGCCCTCATCCCTCTGGGCGGGTTGCAGCAGCTCAGCTGAGTAGGGCCCCAGCCAGCTCTGCTGATGGAGCCTGCACGTGAGACACAGCTGGCGAGAGGCAGTTCCTCCACTCCTGAGTGGGGCTTTGAGGTGCAGGCTGTGCCCGGTAAGGGAACGCCACGTGTGAAAGCAAGGTGGCCTCTTCTGATGGGCAGGTGTGTGGCTCACGGTGCTGGCCCACCTGAGGTCTGAGTCGTACTGTGGCCACAGTGTTTCGTATGTTTATTATGGAAAATACCTTGTGTTTATTTTTTTGAAGATTTATTTTATTTGAAAGGCAGAGTTACACAGAGGCAAAGGCTCAGAGAGAGAGAGAAGTCTTCCATCTGCTGGTTCACTTCCCAGATGGCTGCAATGGCTGGAGCTGGGCCAGTCTGAATCCAAGAGCCAGGAGCTTCTTCCAGGTCTCCCATGTGGGTGCAGGGGCCCAAGGACTTGGGCCATCTTCTGCTGCTTTCCCAGGCCACAGCAGAGAGCTGGATCGGAAGTGGAGCAGCTGGGACTCAAACTGGTGCCCATAAGGGATGCCAACACTACAGGCGGTGGCTTTACCTGCCACGCCGCAGTGCCGGCCCCTCTCAGATTAAGTTCTGAAATTTAATGCCATGATGCCAATTGGATATTGTTAAAATGGGACCTTATTTGTCTAACCAAACAATTATTGGAAGCGAAAATATGTAGCCTCAAAACAGTTAAAAAAATCCAAAAATTTTTTTCTGCTATAATGATTTTGAAAGGCAGAGTGATGAGTTGGAGGGGTAGAAAGAGAGAGAGAGATCTTCTGTCTGCTGGTTTACTCTTCAAGTGGCCCCAATAGCCAGGTCTGGTCCAGGCTAAAGTCAGGAGCTGGGAACTCTGCCAGGTCTCCCACATGGGTGGCAGGGGTTCAAGTTCTTGAGCCATTATCGGCTACACTCTCAGGCAGGTTAGTAGGAGGGTGGATTGGAAGCAGAGTAGCCAGGACTCTTAATTGGCGCTCTGATACGGTTTGCCGGCGTCCCAAGCAGTGGCTTAACCTGCTGTACCGTATCGCTGGTCCCAACTATTATGATTTTTATGTTCAGTGACAAGGAATACTTCTGTTTTTTGAAGCTTAATTTTCATTTGCTAACGACTGTGTATAAAAGACTGGGTCCTGTAACTTGTCAACACTGTAGAATTAGAAAGCAAAGAGAAAAATCGAAGAGAACAATAATTTCTCATGTACATTGTTTGATGTGAAATCAATGAGGGCAGAGACTTGCTGGTTTTACAGTGGCTAGTCTTCCATTCTGATAAGAGTGCTTGGATGACTGCAGATAAGCCCTTCAGATGTATTACTGTAATTTTAATGAAGTATTTTAGATTTTTTTTATTGATGGGCACACAACCAGCATTCTACAAACTGGGCCTTGCGTTTTGACCTGATTCTAGTAGGGCTTAAGAAAATGGATCAAAATGAAAAATGTTTGTAGTCTCTCTCTATTTAAGGTAACTTGGCTTCTCAAAGGAGTAGCAGAATACCACTCCCTAAACTTTATCCCCCCTTGGCACCCAAGGAGCTGTCTCTTCTGTGTCGTCTTCAGCTGCAGCCAAGTGTCACCCTCCAGCTGGTTTTGGTTAACGACATCTGCAGGGTACAGACGGGTCCAGGTTTCATAGTATAGTCGTGTATTGTCAGTCTTGGAGTGGAGTGGACCTATTACATGGGGTCCTATTGAAAATAAAATGCAAAACCCAAATGCAGCTGGGCCCCCGAGTTTCAATAACCAGTCAACAGTAGAAAGTGGACCCGACTTGGAGCTCCCAGCGTTACCCTTTGTGGAAGCTTCTAGACCCGTCTTGTCTGAAGAGTTGTCATCAGTTCTGCGCCCTCTGGGCGTCCGTGGTGGGCTTCCACAGCAGTGACGGGTTTTGCCTGTGTATCTTCTCTTCTGCAGACAGACGCGTTTCAGAAGCCCGTGCCCTTGGAGCAGCACCCTGACTATGCGGAATACATTTTCCATCCCATGGACCTTTGCACCTTGGAAAAGGTTGGCGTCCATCCGAGGGCCTCCGCGTTAGAGCCCACAGTTCCCGAGATGACTCGGCAGCCTCCGCCACCTCCCAGGCTGCTACCCAAGCTAGATTATTTCTCCGCATTTCCCCGCTCCGAACTCTCGATCCCCTGACTTCTCCCCTCCGTAGCCTTCCCCCACGGATGGCAGTGGAGTGTGAACACTCACTGACGATGCTGCTGCGAGTGATTCTAGCTTTTCGCCCACAAGAGTCGTAGTTCTCGAGAATTAGCGATGTGATTGATGGGTGCCTCCCCTCTCTTCTCTGTCTGTCGGAGGTGCTAATGAGAACAGCAGGAGGAAGAAGAGAAAATTAAGTGTCTGGGAAATCTCTGAATTAGCAATAAAGATGTGGCTTCTTAGAGCTTGGCGTACTCTTCTGTTAAGGATATTTCTTTAATGCCTGAAGGTGTTTTTAAAAATTCATGCCAACATTCCAGGATGAACAAAATCAACTTACATTGTAGATTGTGCGTATCGGAGCTGATTTTCAGACTGTGGTAGCAACACAATATAGGTAATAAAAACCACCCATGAGGAGGCAGCATTGTTTCACATTCACCTTCACTGCCAGCCCCCAAGCAGTGAATAATCCCAGCAGGTTTTACTCATGGTGGAGTGGGCGAGGGAAGGCAGTCTACAAAGGCAGGGCTGGAACCTTCGCTTCATCAGCCGACAGCTTTGGAACGGAGGGGGGCTCCTTAACTTACCTCCGTGTCGCCTTCCGTGGAGTGGGGCTGATGAGCAGGACTGCACTGAGCTAACAGTCGGCTTGGCCTGTGCAGACCACGTGGCTACGAAAAGCCACGCAGGGTCCATCAGAGGGAGCTGCCTGGTACGTGGCAGCAGCCCCCGGTGAAGCAGATCACGTTAGTGTGGTGGGTCAGTGAGGTAGGGTTAGAGACCTCCAAAACAGTGGCCTCTCGAGCCCCGGGTGAGAGCATGAGCGAGGTAGGCACAGGCCTGCTAACCACATCGCCTGGGGTGCGGGGGTCTTGCCGGGGCTGGTGCTGACTCCGGGGGTGACGCTCTGTGGCTTTTCTTCCCAGAATGCTAAGAAGAAAATGTACGGCTGCACGGAAGCCTTCCTGGCGGATGCCAAGTGGATCTTACACAATTGCATCATTTATAATGGGGGTGAGTGGCCGCGCCGGCGACCGAGGGTGTGCGCGTCGTCTGTGCCGTGCGCGTTGTCTGTGCCGTGTGTTCCACGTTCTCCCCGCCTTTGGAAAAAGCAGGCTGCTGCTTGCGTGTCTCAGAGCGAGGACTGAGAACAGTGTTCCTGGATTGCTGGTGTGTGTGAACAGGTTAGCGATTCCCGGCCTGTTAAGGTGGGAGCTGCTGTGCTAGTGGCTGTGGGCCCAGGGTGCTGCTTATCTTACTATTGTTTACAGAACCTTTCTTTAGTGAAGCTGTAATTGCATACAATAAAACAGGTTTTGTATGTGTATTTGGTTGCCTTGACAGATGTTCCCAGATGTCATTGGACATTTAGGCAGGGTTGATCTTTGATCTGCTGATTCACTCCCCAAATGCCCACTATAGTGTTGAGGTGGATTTGTTCTGAGAGGAGGAGCGTGGTGGGGGCAAGAGGCGTGGAGTCACCACACAGACCCGAGGAGTCGGGTAAAAGTGGGCCAGAGGCGAGCAGCCCACAGACTCATTTCAGTTGGTACAGCAGCTTATATAGCCAAGGCAGCCAATCCAGTCAAGGGGCAGTCTGTGCCCTAACCAATCACAGCCTGTTGCCAGGCAGTTTCCGAAGCCATCCAATCACACCCTGTTGCCAGTCAGGCTCTGTTGTCCTGTGGTTTCCAGAGCCATCCAATCACAGCCTGTTGCCAGGCAGTTTCCATTGCCAGCGGCCATCTTGGCGTGGCCTTCTCATTCCACCACGCTATAGCCAGGGCTGAAGCCAGGAGTCTGGAACTCCATTAGTGTCTCCCACGTGGTGGTAGGGGCTCAAGCACTTGGACCCTCACCCACTGCTTTCCCATATGCATTAGCAAGGGGGCTGGAGTGTTGACAGAACAGTCGGGACTTGAACCTGCTCTCGGCTTCCCCCACCCTGCACCACAGTGCTGCCTGCTGCATTTCTGTTTGCTCCTTTCCAGCAAGCCTGGTCCTTCAAGGGAGCCGCAGTTCTGCTTCCCGTTACTCTGGATTGCTTTCTTTCCTGGAATATCCTGTTCGTGGAGTTACAGAGAGAGCTCCCAGTGGCTGCCTGTTTTCGCAGTGTCCTGTGTTTTTGGGATTCGTCTCGTGTTGGGGCTGTTTGTTCTTTGTTGAGTGGTTTTTCACTACACACATAACACAATCTATCCGTTCCTTTGTTGGTGTTAATACTTGGGCTGGTTCCAGCTTTCGGGTGTTAGAATTTAAGCTGCTGTGAATTTCCTTGTACAGGTCCTTATGTTTTCATTTCTCAGGGGTGATACCTGGCAGTGGTGTTGCTGGGTCATTGAGCAGGTTTATATTTATGAGGGATTCTGCCAGGCCGTTTTTGCAGGCAGTTGTATCATTTTGCACTCTACCAACGTGTGTGTGTGTGTGTGTGTGGTCTCCCTGCCCACGTCCTTACCAGCTCTTCAGTGTGTGAGGTGCTGTGGTCATTTGAATTTTCCTTTTCTTAATGGCTTACTGGTATTGAGCATCTTTTAATGTGTTTGATAGTGATGTGTATAGCTTTTTTGTGGGTAAAACGGTCCAATCTTTGGCTCATTTTGAAAGTTGGGTATTGAATTACAGTTTTCTTGTCTTCTGGCTGATGTTCTGTCTGTTGTGTTTCGGTGGATGTAGAGGATTTAGCCTCCTGGCCTAGTGAATTTCCTCGTTCCTCTCCCGTTCTGGCATGTCCTCTGCTCCTCCAGCTTCCCCTCTTCCTGTCTACCTGCTGAGCTGTCTTCCCGGGTCCCCCTGCCCCGTTTCTGTGGTCCCCTGGTCCCCTGGTGCTTACTCCTGCTGAGTCATTCTTCCTAGCTTTGCCTTCCTGCATCCTCATCTTTCCGGCTCAGCCTCTCAGTCCTCCCAGAAGCCTTTGCTGGTGTCCCGGGCCACGCTCGCTGGGCATGGCAGCATTTGTCAGTTTCTGAATGATGCTGTTGTGTGTCTGAGTTGCTCGCTAGGCTGTGAGCTCTCTTAACTGCAGACCACCGTGTCTTGTTCCCCTCCCGCACCCTGTTCCTTTGGGCCTGGAAAGACTGCTCCCTGGCGTTTGCAGAAAGGTATAGGGGCGGGTACGTGTCTGTTTTAGGTGCTCGCATCATTAGCTCTGTAGCAGAGCTAGGGGTGCTGGGGTGGGAGAAGAGGCACTAGGCAGTGAGGATTTATATGAAGGTGACAAACAAAAGCGTATGGAAAGGGCTCTGTGCTCATACCCGTGGTTGAGGTCAGGTGAACAAACAATCCTAGCACAAGCCAGGATGACCACGGGCATGAGGTGGGCTCTGGCTAACGGAGGTCACGGCCTTCTACCTGGTCTGGAGAGGCCGCTGTGGGTGGCTCCTGTGCCGGAGGGGTACAGAGTTATCTGATGTCCTGAGTTTTCAAGGGAAGCCACAAATACAGGTTGTGTGTGTGTGTGTGTGTGTGAATTCTTGTCAACAGTTTCTGAAAATACCAGATCAAAAAAAAAAAAAAAAAAAAAAGCGACCGTTGGACCTTTGTCTTCCTCTGGTTTTGTGCAGAGGTGAAGGATTTAGAGTTCAAAGTGGGGCCGGATGCCCACGCCACTGGCTGAGTGTTCTCCGGGGCCCCTGGCCTGCCTGTTAATTCAGTGACCTAGAGACGCTAACACGGAACTGCTTTTCCGCACACCCTTCTCGGTTAGAATCTGAAATGAAGGGTTGAATGAGGCCCCCTCCCACTCACTGGAGCCTTTAGAATGCCAAAGCCCTTTTCAAAAAGGAATTGGTGATCGGTTGGAAAACTCCTACAAAGTGCGTTTCGCAGAAAACGACGTTGACCCACCAAAGCTTGGTTGACTTGGATGGGAGAAGTCACAGAGTTTGAAATATTTTTGGGAGCCAGAAGCTTCTGGTTTTTAACCCTCGCGTCTTAATCCTGGGGGAAAGTGGGTTCAAAGGTTGTTAGCGGACGCACGCGTGTTTCCATTAGAATTAACCCTATTTTCTTATTCCTTTAGGAAATCATAAATTGACGCAGATAGCAAAAGTAGTCATCAAAATCTGTGAGCACGAGGTACGTGTTTCCCAACGACCCATTTAGAAGTTTCTGGACTGAAGGGTCGGGGCGGCTAAGGTTTCCTTTTGCGACGTCGCTCCGTGGAAATCTGCGGTGTCTGTAGATTCGGGAGGTACAGACGGTATCCTCTGTCTTCAAGAAACAGGAACGCAACGAAGAAGGCCCCCACTGTGTTATCAGCCACGCTTGCCGGAGCAGTGACGGAAGGGAAGAAGAAATGGGCTCACCTCTGAGTCTTCCTGGTGGCCTGGACAGCACCATTGTTGCTGTGACCCTGACCTGTGTCTGTGGCATTGAATTCAGAGCCCTGCGAGTCCTCTTGGGGCTTTAACTTTTGGAGGCAGGGTCTCTATCGTCTGTCAGAGTGGCCTGGTCTCTTGGAGAATCCGTCCCTTCTTATGTGGTGGGAGTGGGCCCTGCGGGCTGCTGGGCTGTGAGGCCCTGTGGTTGTGGGGCTGGCTGTCAGGTGAAGTGTGGGTGGGAGGCCTGCGTCATCAGAGTCCCATCATAAGAATGAAACACTGAGGTGCACCAGCCTTCAACCTGTGGCCGCCATTCACTACCCCATCATTCATTCATTCATTCATTCATGTAGAAGAAACCGTGTTTGAATACCAGTGGCATCGCTCCCTGTCTGTTTATGTAGAGTCTAGTTGTTGATTCAGTGTTGTAAGACTTATTATTTATTTGGAAGTCAGAGTTACAGAGAGGCAGAGAGAGAGAGGGGTCTCCTAACTGCTGGTTCATTCCCCGAATGGCTGCAATAGTCAGAGCTGGGCTGATCTGAAGCCAGGAGCCTGGAGCTTCTTCTGGGTCTCCCATGTGGGCACAGGGGCCCCAGCGCTTGGGCCATCTGCTGCTTTCCCAGGTGTATTAGCAAGGAGCTAGACTGGAAGTGGAGCAGCCGGGACTAGAACCCGGCTCCTGTATGGGATGCCGACACTGCAGGCTGCCACAACGTATACAGGCAACAGGCTCCTACTTAGAGTTTCATATTCTGCTTGTCACCAAGTTCAGTTTGTGTATTTTCTGTTTTCCCCAGGATGAACAAAAGTTTTCTTGGCTGCATAGTATGCCTTGCAGCCCTTGGGTATTTATCTGCGGACTGCTCTTTCACCATTTAGGCAGTGCCCAGGTTATCAGCATTTTAGCAGCAAGGTGATGCATGTCATTGCGCTTCCCTAGTGTAAGTTTTATTTATTTATTTATTTATTTTTGACAGGCAGTTAGACAGTGAGAGAGAGAGAGACAGAGAGAAAGGTCTTCCTTTTCCCTTTGGTTCACTCCCCAAATGGCTGCTACGGCTGGTGCGCTGCGCTGATCCGATGCCAGGAGCCAGGCACCTCCTCCAGGTCTCCCATGCGGGTGCAGGGCCCAAGGACCTGGGCCATCCTCCACTGCCCTCCTGGGCCACATCAGAGAGCTGGACTGGACAGAACCGGCGCCCCAACCGGGACTAGAACCCGGGGTACCAGCACCGCAGGCGGAGGATTAGCCTAGTGAGCTGCGGCGCCGGCCCTTAGTGTAAGTTTTAGGAATGCAGTTGCCAGGGCAGAGGTCATGAGCGGGGCCACGGCTGCGGGCAGGCGTCTCTTGATTGTTTTCTGGAAGAGCTGTAGACAGCTTGTGGAGCAGCCAGGAGTGGACGAGCCTGGGAACCCTGCTGTGTCCCTCCCAATACGGGATGTTCTGATGTAAAAAGTCTCTGTGTGTGTGTTTCCCTGGCGGCACTGGGTGGAAGGAGGCGCTGCATTCTGCTGTTTGTTCATTTGTTCGTCATCTGTTCATTGACCTGTTAGGTCAGTCTTCTGGGTAATTCCTGAGCTCCTGTTGGGTGCGTGGTACTCGCCTGATGACAGGAGATGGAACAGGGCGGACAGTGGTGGGAAGGCTACGGCAGCTACAGTGCGGCGGGCAGGTGCCTGCACTTAGGAGCCTGGCCCCACCGCTTGGCCCCGCTGACCCCTGGGGCAGGTTGCTCTGCTCCTTGGGCCTCATTTTCCCCCTCTCTAAGTGGGAATAACGGTAGTGCACCGCTGGGGTTTGTGGAGGGTCTGAGTTCGTCCTCATGGGGCACCGAGGATGTCCGCGCACGCTGCGTCTGCAGCACACGTTAATCTGTGTGTCGGTGACTGTGTCACTGGCGGGGCTTTCGCTTTGTTTCTCATCAAGAGGGGCTTCAGTTCTGAGCCAGGAGTTGCCCCAGGGGCGTGGGGGGTGGACCATAAACCAGTGACCGAGCCTTCAGATGTTCATCAGTGGGAATGAAAGAGGGGTTTGGTGTTGGTGAACACCATGGTTAGAGATGTGTACGAACTGAGCTGGGCAAGCAGGCGAGGCCAGTGAGGCCGGCAGGAAGCCAAGGTGAGCTCAGGCTGGTGGGCAGAGGCCACATTGCACGTGGCCGTGGGGGAACCAATCAGATTGTTTAGATTTTTTTTTTTTTGACAGGCAGAGTGGACAGTGAGAGAGAGAGACAGAGAGAAAGGTCTTCCTTTGCCGTTGGTTCACCCTCCAATGGCCGCCGCGGTCGGCGCGCTGCGGCCGGTGCACTGCGCTGATCCGATGGCAGGAGCCAGGAGCCAGGAGCCAGGTGCTTTTCCTGGTCTCCCATGGGGTGCAGGACCCAAGCACTTGGGCCATCCTCCACTGCACTCCCTGGCCACAGCAGAGAGCTGGCCTGGAAGAGGGGCAACTGGGACAGAATCCGGCGCCCCAACCGGGCCTAGAACCCGGTGTGCCGGTGCCGCTAGGCGGAGGATTAGCCTAGTGAGCCGCGGTGCTGGCTAGATTTTTAAAAAGATTTTCTTTATTTGAAAGGCAGAGTGAGTGAGAGAGAGAGAGGGAGGGAGGGAGAGAGAGAGATGGATCTTCCATCTGCTGGTTCATTCCCCAAATGGCTGCAATGGCTGGGGCTGGGCCAGGCTCAAGCCAGGAGCTTCCTCCTGGTCTCCCACATGGGTGCAGGGGCCCAAGCACTTGGGCCACCTTCTGCTGCTTTCCCAGGCCACCAGCAGGGAGATGGGTAGGAACCATAATGGGTGTCAGAGGCCATGGCTTAACTCGCTATGCTTCAGCACCAGCCCTCGGTTTAGATTCTGTTGTGAGTTCCTCAACTTGGCACTGTTGACAGATGGGGACCCTGCACGGATCCCTCCGTGTCCCCAGTCCTGGCAGCCAGCCGTGCCTGGAGGTGGTGAGGGGAGGGAGGAGTTAGTCTGCTCTGAGGAAGAACCACCGGGCCCCTGGGGAGTCCTTGGGAAGGCTTAGGCAGGGGGAGCGCAAGATGGGGTCCCTGCGTGTTAAGGAGGACCCTGGCTGCCGGGTTGGGGATGGACAGTCACCCAGGGGAGAGTGGAGACTGGCGGGCCGGGGTGGATGGCCGGGGCGTGACCCGGAGGGGGTGACAAGGTGGGCGTCGGTTCACCTTGGAGGAGTTCCTGCTGTGGGCTCTGCTTGGTCAGCGGGGTCCTGTGTATTGGTTGCTGTGGAGTGCCACGTTCTAACGTGTTTTTGCTTTGCAGATGAATGAAATTGAAGTCTGTCCAGAATGTTACCTGGCTGCCTGCCAGAAGCGAGATAACTGGTTTTGTGAGCCTTGTGTAAGTTGGGTTGCTTGCCTTGTTTGCCCCTGAGCTCCGGTGGTGACCGCGGCACAGCTGTCTCCCGGGGACTTGGGGATGAAGTTTCAAAATGGGGAGTGATAGGAGCCTGGGTGGGACACGCTGCTGGGCCCCGGAAATGACATCACGGTGTACTTGATTCCCTCAGGCATCGGCGTGGGGCAGAGTCCGAGGTAGCTCACCGAGGTGTGGGACGCGGCGGGGGGGGGGGGGGGGGAGGTGACACGAGCCTCCCGCCAGTGTGTTCACACATCGTGTGCACCTGTTTTACGATGTTTGTGAATTCTTCTCTGGATCAGTTCCATGGTCTCTCCAGCTGTGTTTTTTTTGGGGGGTGAAGAAAGTCATCTTAGTGTCCCCCAGGGGTCTGCCTTCTGCAGGCTGGAGCTGTGCAGAGAAAAATGTATTGTCGGCGTGGGAGGGAGGTGGGGGGCACTGGGTCAGGTGCAGAGATGGACCAAGTAACGTGAGAATCCTGAGCTGTGTTCATCTCTTCCTGCCCTCGGAGGTGCACATGTGAGCAGCTGAGGCTCTGGGCCCCGATGAAGAGTAATCGGGGATTGGGCCGCCCCTCAGTGCGTGCTGGCACCATGCACGCTTCATCCAGCGTGCCGGGGCTGGGGTGGCTGTGCCCATGTGGCACAGGATGGTGAGCTGTCCGGCTCCTGGCCAGCCAGGTCATACAGCGCAGCCAGGGCCTAAGCTGGTTCTGCCAGCGTTTCGTTCTGAGGCTCCCCACTTAAGCCCCTTTGCAGTTCTGGTCCCACGTCTGGACCTGGCCCTGATGGAAACTGGTTTTTCCATCTGCCGGCCCGAACCCCCTTCCACCGGCTCTCTCCTCGGGGTGCACCTTGCTGCCAAACACCTCCAAACTGTGTCTTTTCTTTTCCTAGAGCAACCCTCACCCTCTGGTCTGGGCAAAGCTGAAGGGCTTTCCGTTCTGGCCTGCCAAAGCTCTGAGGGATAAAGACGGGCAGGTTGACGCCCGATTCTTTGGACAACATGACAGGTAGAGTCCCCTTTTATTGTATCCTTGGATAAGAAAAGAGGTGGAGGCTACGGCGATTATTTCCTGTGTTATTGTCATGGTGATGCCAGCTGGTGGTCTTGGAGTTGAGGGATGTTTCCCTGCGCTGGGCCAAGCCTGGGAATGTGTGGGCTTCAGATCTGCCAGGGACATTAGAAGATAATCTTGCCTTCGGGCTTCCTGTGGGTGAGACCAGCGTAGGCCTTGCCAGTGGGTTGCTGCTCCTTTTGGGCGGAGTTTTCCGGGGTGAATTCAGCCTGTGTGTAACACTGCTGTTCAGAACAATGCTTTCAGGGGTCAGAGTATCTTCCCAGACGACTCGCGTCTCACAGTGCCGAGTAGTCGGCTCCTCTGGCCTTTGCGCTGAAGCTGTGATGCGGCGTGGCAAGGGGGCGGGGGTGCTGTCTGCACAGGTGTGCACCTTCCCACGCTCCCCGTTCTGTCCTCTCACTGCAAGGTGAATCATTCCGCCATCAGCAGTTCCCGGTACCGCGGCCCCCTGTGTGCCTGAGCGCAGCAGGTGCATACAGACGAGGAGCCGGTAATATCCGGTTTCTCTTCTAGTGGGTAATGTTGTGATTAAAGGAGGCAGAACCCCACCATGAAGTGGGGAAGTGTAGGGGAGAAGATTTAACATACTTAGAATAAAAATGATGTACCTACCCACATACAGCATATATATATTTATATTCACAGTTTTTATTATAAAGATTTACTTGTTTATTTGAAAGGCATGGAGAGGGAGAGGGAGAGGGAGGGACAGAGAGAGAGAGAGATCGCCCATCTGCTGGTTCACAACCCAGATTGTGCTAGGAGCCAGGAACTCCGTCTGGGTCTCCCACATGGGTGCAGGGGCCCAAGCACGTGGGCCACCTTCTGCTGCTTCTCACGTGTATCACCAGGGAGCTGGGTTGGAAGCAGAGCAGCCAGGACCTGAACTGGTGCCCTGAGAGGGGATGGCGGCTGCGCCACAGCGCCAGTCTCCGTGGGGCTGCTTTCAGCTCCGCTTACTGAGAAGAAAACTGTACCCCAGGGAGAGTGATGCTTCGCTGCTGGCCGCACAGCTCTTATGCAGCCAAGCAGGGCACAAAACACAGCCCTGTGATCTCTCTCTCTCTATTTTTTTAAGATTATTTATTTGAGAGTCAGTTACCCAGAGAGAGAGAGAGAGAGAGAGAGAAAGAGAGAGGGAGAGAGGTCCTCCATCCGATGGTTCATTCCCCAATTGTCTGCAACCGATCCAAAGCCAGGAGTCAGGAGCTTCTTCCAGGTCTCCCACGCGGGATCAGGGGCCCAAGGACCTGGGCCATCTTCCACCGCTTTCCCAGGCCACAGCAGAGAGCTGGATCGGAAGTGGAGCAGCTGGGTCTTGAACTAGCGCCTATATGGGATGCCAGTGCTTCAGGCCGGGGTATTAACCCGCTGCGCCACAGCGCTGGCCCCTGCAAAAGCATTTTGAAGTCCACACAAACTCAAAGCTCATGGAAGGGACAGGCATTCTGTATTCCCTATCACTGTGCTGGTTTGAGTCCTGGCTCCTCTGCTTCCGAGCCAGCTTCTTGGTCACGTATCCTGGGAAGGGAGCAGAGTGGGAGAGCAGGATGGAATTCCGGGCTCCTGGCTTTGGCCTGTCCCAGCCCCATCTATTGTGTGGTATCTGGGGGGTGAACCCGTGGATGGAAGCCGTCTCACTCTCTGTCACTCTGCCTTCCAGACAAGCAAACCTTTAACAAAAAGCCCATGGAAAATGCTTGTTAGGAAGAAAGATGCGTGGACTTCAAAATTCTTTTTTGCACAAGACAGACTCATTTTGTATTTCATTTCTCATGAGTGATTTTGAAGTCCCCTTGTTCTCATTTGCTGCTCTGGGCTCCTCCCCCACATAGGGGCTCATCCTGCATTCTGGGATGGCCCAGCTGAGCCTCACTCAGGGACAGGAGTCGCTTGCCCAGGGGATGCCCGTAGGGTCCGCTGGCTTCTCAGACGTGTCCCCGTCTCACCTGGATCCGGGTCCACTCGGTGTGCACACGCACAGGCTCACCTTGCGGCCTGCGTCTCTGCTCAGCCCTCCCTCCCTCCCTCCGGCTAGCCATGTGGCTTTTCAGGTCTGGGCAGAAAGACAGCTGTGCATCGAATGAGAAGCTGGTGATTTCCAGCACTCTCGGAGAGTGGCTTGCTCTTTGATATGTTTTGGTTTTGGTTTCTGTTTCGGTTCAGTATCACCAAAGATGGCACACCAACCACCTGTGCTCTGAATCCTGCCCGGTGGATATGAATTCTTCTTTGGAGGTTTTCTTTTAAAAATAGGAATTAGTTGTCAAGTACTGGAATTGGGGCAAAGCGTACAGCTGGAGCATCTCAAATCTGAACATCAAAAATGCCCCAGTCTGAAACTTCCACGGGCCAGCGTGGTGCCAGGAGCAGAAAGCTCCCTCCCCGACCTCGTGTGACGGGTCACCGGCAGAGCGCAGGTGCATAACATCTTGTTGACGGCCACCTTCTGTGGGCACGGTGCAGATGCGTGTCGTGTTCAGACTTGGGTTTCACCCCCAGGAGCGCTCATTATGTAAATGCAGATGTTCCAGAACCTGAGCCACACCTGGGACACTGCTGGTCCCCAGCTGAGGCTTCGGGTGGGCGATGGTCAGCTTGCCAGGTCAGGAGCCCGTGTTTCCTAAACCTCGTGGCCTTGGCAGTGGAGTCCAGGTTCCGGCTGCTCACTGTGGGCAGCGCTGAGTCGGTGCCTCTTTGTCCCTGGGAGCTTCCCGCTGGGCTCTCTGCCCCCACTGCTGTGTCCCTGCCTCGACGCTGCGTGACTTTGTCCGCCTCGACTTTGTGTGACGTCTGATGGTCCCTTTGGACAAGCTCCTTCCCACCGTGTCCCAGCTGCAGACTGGTGGACACCGGGAATCCTGAGGGGTCACCAGTGTGTCCTGATGTCTGTGTTTCGCCCCTGCTGCCACCGCCACGGCCCTGTGGAATCCCCGGCTGGACCCATGACGTGGCCACTGGCATTTCTGCTGTCTTGATTCCATGGGGTACGCTGGGGTGTGGGGTGCTGATGGCAGGAACATGAGTGGTGGAAGGGGCACCCCCGAAGGTGGGCTGGTTTTGGCGATTTGCCATGCGAGTTATCACACGTTCAGTACCATGCGCTCTTGGAGAGTGCCGTCCTTGTCCCCTTTGGAATGGTGATGAGAAAAGCAAGCTTCCTGTCCACGTGGAGCCGAGTGAGGCTGGGGAGTGATTCTCTCTCTTTTTTTTCTTGTTTGACAGGCAGAGTGGACAGTGGGAGAGACAGACAGAGAGAAAGGTCTTCCTTTGCCGTTGGTTCACCCTCCAATGGCCGCCGCGGCCGGCGCACTGCGCTGATCCGAAGGCAGGAGCTTCTCCTGGTCTCCCATGGGGTGCAGGGCCCAAGCACTTGGGCCATCCTCCACTGCACTCCCTGGCCACAGCAGAGAGCTGGCCTGGAAGAGGGGCAACTGGGACAGAATCCGACGCCCCGGCGGGGACTAGAACCTGGTGTGCTGGCGCCGCGCCGCAAGGCAGAGGATTAGCCTAGTGAGCCACGGCGCCGGCCCACTAATTCTCCTTTGAGAGGTGCAGTCTAGGCCACAGTGGCTGGTGTGCTGCCCTCCGCCATCAAAATCCCAGGATGGGTTCTTGTTTTTAAATTTTTTTTTAATTTTTTTAATTATTTTTTATTTTTGAAAGCAGGTTAAAATGACAGTGTATCTAGCCTTTTCCCATTTTAGGAAAGTTTTTTTGTTGATATTCTGTCCTGAAGACGGGACGTGTCAGCTCAGTGGATCATTAACAAACCAATCAATCTGAGTGGTTTTCAGAAAACGGAGTAAATAGTCCAGAATCCTGGCGGGGCCCCGCGTGGCCGTGCAGCAGGTTAACCTGGCAGCATCCCTGTGAGCTCCACTCCAGCCCAGCTCCTTGCTCATGGGCCTGGGAAAGCAGCGGAAGACAGCCCAAGTGCTTGGGCCCTGCACCCGCGTGGGAGAGCCGGGCGGGATTTCAGGCTCCCGGCCTCCACCTGCCCCAGCCTTGGCCACTGCGTCCATTTGGGGGGTGAACCAGTGGATGAGAGCTCTCTCTCTCTCTAACTCTGCCTTTTTCATAAATAATAAATCTTAACACCACCACCACCACCACCACCACCACCACCAAGGGCTGTGGCCGGTGTGCTGGGCTCGCTGGTGTTGCATTAAGGCCGCACGCAGCAGCCGTGGCTGCCTGGCGGTCAGTGACGCTGTCTCTCTCGCCCTCCAGGGCCTGGGTCCCCATCAATAACTGCTACCTCATGTCCAAAGAGATCCCCTTCTCTGTGAAGAAGACGAAGAGCATCTTCAACAGCGCCATGCAGGAGATGGAGGTGTACGTGGACAACATCCGCAGGAAGTTCGGCGTCTTCAACTACTCCCCGTTCCGGACGCCCTACACGCCCAACAGCCAGTACCAGATGCTGCTGGACCCCAGCAACCCCAGCGCCGGCACCGCCAAGGTGGACAAGCAGGAGAAGGTGAAGCTCAACTTCGACATGACGGCCTCCCCCAAGATCCTGCTCAGCAAGCCGGTGCTGGGCGGCGGCTCGGGCCGCAGGATCTCCCTGTCCGACATGCCCCGCTCCCCGCTGAGCACCACGTCCTCGGTGCACACGGGCTCCGACGTGGAGCAGGACCCCGAGAAGAAGGCCACGTCCAGCCACTTCAGCGCCAGCGAGGAGTCCATGGACTTCCTGGAGAAGAGCACAGGTCAGCCCCTGCTGGAGGAGGGTGGCGGGGGCCCCGGGGGCAGGGGCCGGGGTTTGCACCCCAGTGCCCAATGGACCCAAGGCCGGCGCCACGCCTCAGCCCCAGAGGGGCCCTGCGGGGGTTCTGCTCCCTGGAGCTGAGTTTGACTGAGTGGCCAGGTGGGGTACTTGCCGGGAGGGACCCAGTAAGGAGAACGCGCTCCCCGGGAGGTCATTTCCGGCACTGGTGGGGATGGCCGGATGTCCTCCAGGGGTCAGGTCCAATGGCATGCTTCTCAGGTTAATCACATCGACCCCCCAGGATAGCATTCTTTCCCAAGAATTTTATGTTAATAGAAAGTCAGTTTCTCTGTTGAAAGCCTGGCGGCTCAAGTGTTGCAGAGATGTGAGAGGCAGAGATGGGCCGCAGGCTCATCCCGCGGCCGGCAGTCGCCCTGTGTTCGTGAGACGGGCTGGGGCAGAGTGGTGAGGACGTGGCTGCTGCTCTCACCCCAGCCTGCCACTCCGGGCCGTGTGGCTCTGGGCCGGGCTCGTAACCACCGGTGCTTGGATTTCTCCATCTGGAAGGTAACCGTGGAAACAGGCCTTCCTCTAGGTCCTCGTATGGAATGAATCAGCACACACAGGTCTTCGAGCAGCGCCCGAGGCAGACGGGCAGAGATCCGGCTGCTGTGCTCCGTGTCGTGTCGCTGCCTCCCTGGGTGGGTCCGAGCAGGGTGCAGTGCAGCCGATGTGAGAGGTTGGCTGGGAATCCACGCGGTGATGGTGACTCGAAGTGACCCCTCCCCTTCGGAATTTGGTCACGTGGTAATGATATGGCTTCATTGCTTGCGTAAAGAAATGGTTTTGCCCTCATTTTTCCCAAACCAGCATCTCAGTGTGTTCTCTGGGGGCAGTGGGGCTTCTACCCCGGTGTGGGGAAGGAAGGCGGGGAGACCGTCGGTCGGTCGGTCAGTTGGTCGGTGGGAGCCCCCCACCCTGGCTGCCGGGCCCTGGCCCCTGCTCGCTGTGCTGGCGGGGGCCCCGGCTTTGCAGATCTGAACGCTGTTCCGTTGAAATCGGAAATCTTCAGCGCTTAGGTCTCAGGTCAGAATACCTTAGGGAGGACCCTAGAACGAGTAAAGCACGCTTCCAGGTGCCCCCCCAGCCCAGCCTGTGAGCCCCGGAGAGCCTGCCCCTCCCCCCCCATCAGAACTGCTCCGGGAGCCGAGACCACGACGTCCGTGATGACACGCGGGGACCTCCTCGGCGGGGAATTCCGCGCGGTCCGTCCTGGCCGTGCTGCTTCTTGGGCTGTTTGAAGGCGGTGCTCTGCCCCTGCCTGCGTAGTGACCAGAGGGGCAGAGGGACGCGTGGCTTTTGGTTTTGCAAAATAAGGCCGTGATCTCTCCTGTTCTGCTTCATAACCCCGTCAGCCTAGCTGCTCAGGTTGGGCTTCATTCTAGACTGATGTGGGCTGTGTTGACAGAATTCTGGAAAAATCTTCCTTTGCTCCCTTGTTTCTCCTTTCTTTTTTAAAAAGATTTATTTATTTAAAGTAAATTTTAAATATTTAAAATAAATTTAAAAGTTACAGAGAGAAAGAGATCTTCCATCTACTTTTTTTTTTTTTTTAAGATTTTATGTGTTTATTTGAGATGTAGAGTTACAGACGGTGAGGGGGAGAGACAGAGCGAGGTCTTCCTTCCTCCAGTTCACTCCTCAAATGATCGCAATGGCCAGAGCTGCGCTGATCCAAAGCCAGGAGCCAGGAGCTTGTTCCAGTTCTCCCATGCAGGTGCAGGGGCCCAGGGACTTGGGCCGTTAACAGTGAGCTCTTCCATCCACTGTTTCACCTCCCAAATGGGTGCAGTACCCAGAGCCGAGCCAGACTGAAGCCAGGAGCCAGCACTTGGTCCGCTTAACCGACTGTGCCACAGTGACGGCCCCGCCCCCTTGTTTCCCACTGGAGTCCTTGAAGTCCTGGTTTTCTTCTGAGAACATGGTGCAGGTTAAGCCAAGTTCACGAAGCCTGGTACTCAGTCACACAAGCCTGGTTAAGTTCCTGGAGCTGTGCACTGGGAAAATGCGCGTTTTAATGTGGGGAGGAACTTAGTGGGTCATCGTTGCCTGACCTTGCTGTGTGACCTTTCGCGATATCTCACGACATAGGTAATATGGAGCCTGCAAGTTAGCTTTGTCCTAAGCTAAGCGGAGCGTGTGATTCTCATGCGTTGCTTTTTTCCCCCTAATAAGCATGAAACTAATACATAGCTAGTAAAGTAAACATGTTGGTGTGTGAGCCGCTTTGAAAGGAGAGAGGTGTGGAGATCTTCAGTCTGCTGGTTTACTCTGGGCCAGGCTGCAGCCAGGAGCCTGGAGCTCCATCCGGGTCTCCCACTCAGGGTAGCAGCAACCCAAGTACTGGAACCAGCACTTGCTGCCTCCCCGTGGTACCCAGCAACAGGCAGCTGGGTTGGAAACGGTCAGGACTGGAACCCAGAGACGTGGTGTCCCAAGCGGTGGCTAAACCACTGCACAACACACACACACACACACACACACACACACACCCCGCTTTATAGGAGCAGGAGGATGCGTGGGACGTTCAGTTGACTTCCCTCCTTCCTTGGGAGGTAACAAAAGGAGAGAGAGAGATGACGTCGGACTTGGGACAAAATTCCTGCACGCTTGAGTGGCCTTGTGGGTGAGAGGTGAGTGGGTTCCAGTAGATTTAAAAATCTTCTGGGGCCGGTGCTTTGGCGCAGTGAGTTAACACCCTGACCTGCCGTGCCGGCATCCCAAATGGGCACTGGTTCGAGGCCCGGCTGCTCCGCTTTCTGATCCAGCTCTCTGCTGTGGCCTGGGAAAGCAGTGGAGGATGGTCCAAGTGCTTGGGCCCCTGCACCCACGTGGGAGACCTGGAAGAAGCTCCTGGCTCCTGGCTTCAGATCGGTGCAGCTCCTGCCGTTGTGGCCATCTGGGGAGTGAACCAGTGTATGGAAGACCTCTCTCCATCTCTGTATCTCTCTGTAACTCTTTCCAATAAATAAAAATAAATCTTTAAAAATCCTCCTCCAAGAATGTGACCCCCGCTCGGTTTGTCCGTGGATCTCTGCTAAGCTGAGAGCCACTGGGTAGCCGCGGAAGAGGAGCGCCTTCCCTGTGTGGGGCTACGCAGTCCGTGCTGCAGGCCGTGGGGCATTCGTCACATCTGTGCACCCTTTAGCCCCGAGGTTGCCGGGGACAGGTGGAGGCTACGACACTTGTCGACTGACATGGGATCTGGATTGCGTGTTAGTCGCATGTTTCCTGAACTGTTAATTTTTTCACAAACAGACACACACACACACATACACACACACCTGCCAAGGGAAGCGATCAAGGCCTCACCCTGAGATCCTGAATCCAGGTGGGCTTTCTTTGCGCCACACTGCCCTCTGGTGTTAGCAGCAAGAGTAGCAGTTAAGAGGATGGAGAAGTTGAATGTGGGGGTGGGTTGCAGTGCTCTGAGCCATCAGGGGTGTCAGGGGTGATAGAATGGAGCCAAGCCTGCTTTATCCACATGGTATCAGGGGAGGTTGTCACGTCCTGGGAGGCAGCAGCCACACAGTCTCAGCAGTGGGGGTTCTGTAGCAGCCGTGTGAAAGCACACGTTGAAATCAGTTGTCGCCTAAGACATTGTAATAAAGCTTTCACTGGGGCCTCTGCTGGTGGCGCTGGCAGAGCAAGGGGACATGGCGCTGGGGCCGGGGCAGGACAAGCATCTTAGAAGGTTCTTCCACTCCTGGGCCGGATACTGGCTGAAGGTAAAGCCGTGGAACCGTGAGCAGGGGGGCGTCGCGCGCCCAGGAAGATTCCCCGGGAAAAGTGCTGCCAGCAGCGGTAGCAGCTGCCGGGTCAGGCTTGAAGGGAGTTCAGCCGGCAAGAGCGTGGGAGAGGAGGCCCCAGAGAAGGGGGCCTCCTTCTAGGCGAGCAGGCTTATTTATTTATTTATTTTTGGTGCCTAGAGACGATTGCAGTATTGGGAAACACCCAGACTGACCTGTGCATGGAACTGGCAGCGAGGAGGGTCCCCTTCCACTGACGTTCTGAAGTCTTTGATCGTGTGAATCATTTCCACATCTCTTTCTCCAGAGATTAAGAGAGAGAGGCAGAGAGAGAGGTCTTCCATCCACTGGTTCACTCCCCAAATGGCCGCAGCGGCCAGAACCGCATTGATCTGAAGCCAGGAGCCAGGAGCTTCTTCCGGGTCTCCCCTGTGGGGTGCAGGGGCCCAAGGACTTGGACCGTCTTCCACTGCTTTCCCAGGCCATAGCGTGGAGCTGGATGGGAAGTGGAGCAGCTGTGACAGGTGCCCATTGGAATGTTGGTGCTGCAGATGGTGGCTTTACTGTCTGTGCCACAGCACTGGCCTCTCCTTATAATAAACTAGTGCTGTCTTTTTCTTTCCTTTTTTTTTTTAGTGTATTTATTTAGAGGTGGAGTTACAGACAGAGAGAGGGAGAGACAGCAAGAAAGGCTTTCTGTCCACTAGCTCATTCACCAAATGACTGCAGTAGCCAGAGCTGAACTGATCCGAAGCTTCTTCCGGGTCTCCCACGTGGGTGCAGGGGCCCCAGGACTTGGGCCATCTTCCACTGCTTTCCCAGGCCACAGCAGAGAGCTGGATTGGAAGTGGAGCAGCTGGGACTTCAACTGGAGTCCGTATGGGATGCGCACCTACTCCAATACAGCACCAGCACTTAATGCTGTCTTTAAAATAAAATTTTTTTTTTTTTATTTATGAATGTGAATTGAATGGCCAAGAGAGAGACCGAGAGCTCTCATTCACTGGTTCACGCCCCAAGTGCCCACCGGCAGGGGGGTGAGGGGGGGCTGGACTGAGGCTGAACTCAGGAGCCCAGAATTCGATCCAGGTCTCCCACATGGTTGGCAGGGATCAAACCTCATGATTTGGGGCCAGTGCTGTGGCACAGCAGGTTAAAGCCCCGGCATCCCATATGGCTGTTGGTTGAGTCC